AGAGAGAGAGAGAGACAAAGAGAGAAAGAGAGAGTGACAGAGAGACAGAGAAGGACAAAGAGAGACAGAGAGAGACAGAAAGAGAGACAGACAGAGAAAGAGAGAGAGAGAAAGAGAGACAGAGAGAGACAGAAAAAGAGGGACAGAGAGGGACAGAGAGACAGAGAAAGACAGAGAAAGAGAGAAAGAGAAAGAGACAGAGACAGAGAGAGTGAGAACCTGTTTTCTGTCTGATAAGAGCAAAGAGAAAGCACCAAGTGTTATTTTTCCCCTCCTACGCCAATGACCTTACTAACATAATTTTTTTTTAATGATTGAGTTTTGCTGCTGTATGCAAATTGGATGTTTCAATATGTCTGCAAGCTTTTACGGAAGTCTAGCATTGTTTTTATTTCTGTATCTTAAAAAAAAAAAAAAACCCAAGCTAGAAGGTAATGGAGGGACTAAGGAAAACCAGAACTAAGATTGAGGATCTCCAGCAGTAGAAGGTAAAATGGGCCTTAGGAGACCAGACCAGCTAGGGAACGATCAGATAAGAGACTTCCATAACCTGTAACTGGAGCAAGAAATGCAAAAGAGACCCCCGCTAGTTTCTCAGGAGGTAAAGGAGGGGGAGAGAATTATAAAGGCAGTCCTTGACTTATGACTGCAATGGAATCCAAAATTTCGGTTGTTCAGTAAGTTCCGTCCCATTTCATGACCTTTCTTGCCTCCGTTGTTAAGTGAATCACTGCAGCTGATAAGTTAGTAACCCAGTTGTTAAATGAATCTGGCTTCCCCATTGCTGGTCAGGGACAGGGCCACTGTCATACATGGGAACCGGTTGCCACGTGTCTCAATTTTGATGCCGTCATGAAGGCGCTACAGAGGTTATAAACTCTGAAGTCCCTTTCTTTCCGCGCCAATGCAACTTTGAACAGTCACTAAATGAACCATTGTAGGACGAGGACTTCCTGTACTTGCAGATTTGCAAGATGGAGGTTGCCTTCCGAGGAAGACGACAAAGGTGACCAAGATGGTCCATTCTACTTTCTCGTAAAAGCTGCGCTGATAATAATCTTGCAAATCTGAAAATACAATTCTCCCGCTGTCACCTTTGCAGCCTGAGTACTGAGGGGAGTGCTTTATGAGCCCTTTATGAGCTTCCGCAGTGAACTATGCCTTCTCTTATCTGGCTGTTTCTAGGCATTTCTTCTCTTGACTCTGTCTCTCAAGGCCTTTCCCACATCCCTTTATACGAGAGGATTCAAAGCACCTGCCTGTATAGATCAGACTTCTTTGGAAGTCTGTTCTCCCTTCCACTCCCAAGGTTGTCTTCCTTCTGAACTTTCTAGATCAGTGTTTCTAGATCTCAGCAACATTCGGGTGTGTGGACACCAACTCCCCAAACAACGTCTACCCCTCTTAAAGTTTGCCAAAGTTAGACCTCTGCCCTCCTGAACATCTCCCAGTCGAGAGATTTACTCTGCAAAATCAAGTTCTAGAGCGGGTGTCTTTAAACGGAGCAACTTGAAAACTTGACGAAGTCAACTCCCAGAATTCCCCAGCCAGCTACTCATGAGAATAACAAGATAAGGCAGTAATGGTGAACCTTTTTGTTGTGGTGTGCTGAAAGCATACTGGCAACCAAAATTCAATGCGCCCCTCCCCCCCCTGCACATGCACATGCAACACACACCTTTCCGCTCCCTGACTTGCACCTCCCAGCTGATTTTCGGCCCGTTTGAGGCCGTTTTCGCCCTCCCGAAGGCTTGAAGAAAGCCTCTGCAGCCCCGGGAGGCTGAAAAACAGGCCTTCCGGAAATACCGGAAGTGTCCATTTTCAGTCTCCAGAGGGCCTCTGGAGCCCAGGGGAGGCCGTTTTCACCCTCCCAGAGGCTCAAGGGAAGCCTCTGCAGCCTCGGGAGGTCGAAAAACAGGCCCTTTTTGGCACTTCCAGTATTTTCCGAAAGCCCATTTTTCGGCCTCCCGAGGCTGCAGAGGTTTCCCTCAAGCCTCCTGGAGAACAAAAATAGCCTCAAATGGGCCAAAAATCAGCTGGGAAATGTGTGCAGGGGCAGTGCAGGTATGTTTGGCTGAGGCTCGCATGCCCGTACAAATGGCTCTGTGTGCCGCCTGTGATAAGGAGATAAGGTTTTAAATTCCAGATCTATAAATAACACTATATCACAGGGAGTGCCCAGCCATGCTGGTTGGGGAGTTTGGGGAGTTGAAGTCCACAAGTCTTAAAGTTGCCAAGTTTGGAGAGCCCTGTTCTAGAACAAGGGAACTAGAAAATATTGCAACAAACCAAACCAAACCAAACCCAGTTAATAAATCCCATGAGGTTGTGGCTGAGTGTGACCCATGCTAAAAGCCAAATCTTTGCCATTCCTGGAGGTTGTGGTCCAGGTTAGGAATGAGGCAACATGTTTTCTGAGCTTTGCAATGTCTTTTCTTTTTTTCCCTTTCTAGTCTTACATTTTAGTAGCCTCTGGGCGAAACGCGGTGGCTGGTTCTGAGTGTAACTTACCTGTTTGGCTTTTTTTTTTATGTTTTATTTTAAACTTACAAGCAGGCAACGTTAGAGGCAGAGGACGAGGGGCGGCAGGTAACCGAGCACCTGGCCCCAGAGGATCCTACCTGGGCGGTTACTCTGCAGGCCGCGGCATTTATAGCAGATACCACGAAGGGAAAGGAAAACAACAAGAAAAGGGCTACGAGATGGTGCCCAGTCTGGAATTGCCTGCAGTCAGCCCCATGGCAATCAAACCAGGAACAGGTCAGTAGACCGATAGCCTTTATTGTCACTTTTTACTCCTTGGCACACCGGCACACATTTAAAATGAAACTATGTGGCCCGCTCTCAAGAGCGTACACCCATGCATATAAATACACATATACAGTACATACACATACACATACACACACACACACACCTATATACACATACGTATACATATACATATATATATATATGTTAATCCAGTGATGGGATTCAAAACATTTTACTACCGGTTCTGTGGATGTGGCTTGGTGGGCGTGGCAGCAGAAGGATACTGCAAAATCCCCCTTCTCTCCCCACCTCACTAACCTGCTTTCCAGCTCCATTCTCCTGTGCAGGGCAACCAAAGAAGACCTAGCCAATCATCTGGGACTCAATGGGAGGCAGAGAATAGATGGGGTGGGGCCAGTCAGAGAGGGTATTGTCCGGTTCTCTGAACTACTCAAAGTTTCCACTACCAGTTCTCCAGAACTGGTCAGAACCAGAGTTAATTGCCGTCCATCTTGAACATGTATTGGAAAGAGGAAACTTGAGAGAGTTCAGAAGGTTGATGCTTTATGGAGCAAAACTGTGGCTGAATCTGGATGTTCTCTTTTGGATACCACTGACCTAGGCTTCCCAAAATCACGAAGCAGACTCCCCCTCCTGACAAGACCCCTTTTATTTAATTCCTCTCATTCACATCCATCAAAGTCACAGCAAACAGTCTTTCAAGAGATTTTACAACTGCAGACCTTTATCAGGCTTGGAGAGTTGCCAGGCACACGGTAGCAGAAAATGGTTGCTTCTGGCAGCTGTGTGCATGTGCACACTGGGAACAGGCTCCAGGTGTTCTTCTGCCTCACTGATATCCCACTCTGAAGGCAGCTGATAACTGTCGGACGGCCCTGGCCCCATCTCTGCTTCTGACATAGAGCCCTCGTCAGAGCCTTCCCAAAACTCCGGGACTGGCCCATGTTCCTCCCCAACATCTTCACTGTTCGAGTCTGCCGTCAGCTCCGCTGATTGCTGGCGAGCCACAACAACCACCTCCCAGGAGGTAACAAGGAAAACAGGTTGTGAAGGGGACATGCAGTGTCCCAGGCAATCCTGCTCAAGCATCGCTTATAATATGCCATGTCCTGGAGAGAAGGGGGTGAACTGCCAATAATCTTTTCTGGTGTCCTCACCACTCTCTGTACCTCCTTCCTGTCTGAAGCAGTGAGGCTCCCAAATCAGACTGTAGTGCAATATGACCGGATGCCCTCTATCGAAAGTGGTGAGGACAAGGGGAGGAAGATGTGCTTTTCTCGTGCGATGCAGAAAATGCGGGTGCTGATGTGGCCTCTTCACCAGTGTCTCACTGTTGAGCGACCAGGCCAGCCTACTCCTTAGCTGCACACCCAGAAACTCAATGCTGCTTGATGAAGTATGAAATATGATTATCAGGGTGAGAAGTGGTGAGAAAGGATTGAAAGAAGGTTGGGTTGAGGGCCCTCTTGTTGAGGTTGGAGTGATACATGCCCGTCAGGCAGGAACAACCAAACCCCACAGGCAGAGTTCAAGCTCAATACTTTATTATGTTCTGCCTATAATACAGGAATCTTCCCAGTCTGGGAATAATTAGATAAGATTCCAAGATCCAGGTCTATAAGGAATAATTTAATACAGGGATGCCCAACTACGCTGGCTGGGGAAGTCTGGAAGTTGAAGTCCTCAAGTCTTAAAGTTGCCAAGATTGGACGCCCATAGTTTAATATTTTTGAAGGTCCACCAAGTCTTCTTTCTGAAATCCATTTTGAGTAATTTCAAAAAAATTGGATAAGTCATCATGGCTTCCTGCAAATTTTCTAATTAGCTTTCTCCCCTCAAGTGCCAGATGTCTGTAATATTTTCTGTGCAATGGTAAATTTTGCTGAGGTCCTCTCCTCTTTCTTTCTGGCCAACTATGGAGAAGTGGAGAGATTCCCTTGTGGTTTGGACTCCAATATGCAGAAGCGAGGCCTAGGACTGCACAAGATCCATGAAAAAAGTTAAACATGCTATCGTGGCTGACATGATAGCAATTGCCCAATATTTGAGGGGCTGCCACAAAGAAGAGGGGATCCAAAGCGCCTGAGGGTAGGACAAGAACCCCTGCCCAAGCAGGAGACCCTACCCCATTTCTGACAGATGGGAGTCCAATCTCTTCTTGAAAGTCTCAAGTGATGACGCTCCCACAACTTCCGAAGGCAACTTCTGTTCCATGGGTTGATCGTTCTCACTGTCAGGAAGTTTCTCCTTATTTCCAGGTTAAATCTCTCCTTGTTCAGTTTCCCATCCATTATTCCTTGTCTGGACTTCAGGTGCCTTGGAAAATAGCAGAGAAATGTCACCCCCCCAAAGCACCCCCTAAAGCAATTAATCCAGGCTGTGCGGGAACACAAGGCTATGCCGCCCACATGGCCCGCGGGAACACAAAGCTTGCATCAATTGTATTGCGAACAACACGAGGTAGTGAGGGGAGGAAGGAAAGAGCGGGGGGGGGACTTGCCCCACTCACCCCATGCGCCTCTCCTGGCCGCTGGACTGCTTCTTTCTTCTTCTTCTTTTGGCTGCATGCAAGGAAAGCAGCAAAAGTCTTTCTTTCTCTCCCCCAAACTCCACCAGAAAAGAGTCTTTGGGACCTTGCAAGGCCTTCTGCTCCAAGAGGCTGCGCTGGCACGACAAGTCTTACAAAGACTAATTTCTGGCAGAGTTCGAGGGAGAGAAAGACTTCTGCGGGTGTCAGATGGAGCTCCATTCAAAATTCAAGAAAGAAATACTTAGACTCTTTAGATTAGAGAAAAGATATCTTTTACTGAAGTTGAAGTGGTAGCAACCGTAGAATTCTGAATCTGAGAAATTAGGCGCGCGGATCACATATACAAAGTGATGGAAATGTTCCCACCCCCAATGGTTCAGATGATTCTTCCAATTAAAACTTGTCAATATGATCGTGCGGACATCTTCAGGTGATGATGAGGCCTCTGTCCGTTGACCTTGGCGTATTTTGATAAAAGTTTGCAGTTGCGCAGAGAAAAGAAAGCTAAGCGAGAAATAGAAAGCTAAGCAAGAATTTATACTCCTCCCCTCCTCATTTTACGCAACACTAGAATGTAACACCTCCAGCTCACTTCCTAGACTTTACCCCCTCCTCCCCCTGTTTCTTATGGCAGCTAAAAGATGCAAAGCAATAGTAGAAGATCTTGAAGGCTGACATGCAGCTTCTCCTGCTTTCCTTGCATGAAGCCAAAAGTCTCTCCCCCCCCCCCCCCCCCCCCCCCCCC